ACAGAAACAAAACTATCACATGTCCCCATTTGCATGTGCAAGCTAAAAATTGATTTCGAAAAAAGGAGAAAATAGGGCTGGGGATTTAGCTCAGCGGCATAAGTGCCTGCCTTGCAAGCAGGCAGTCGTGAGTTCGATCCCTGGTACCGATAAAAAGGAAAAAGACAAAAAAAAAAAAAAAAAAAAAAAAAAAAAAGAAAAAAGGAGAAAATAGCGGCTACCAGAACCAGTGAGGGAGTGAGCCGGTAAGAGCGGTGGTTAGTAGGCACAAAGGTGCAAACAGGAAGAATAATTTCTTATGTTCTATAGCAAAGTAGGATAACCGGTTTTCAAAAATTTATAGAACACTTTAAAACAGCCAATAAAGTAAACTCTAAATATTTCTAGCAAAAATAAAAGATCTACATCTGAAATGAACAGGCAATTACCCTGATCATTATATTGCTCTATCCCGTAACATGAACAAATACTGTGTTAAAAAATAAAAACATTTGAAAAACTAAGCAAAACAAATTTAGAATCTTATAGAAATGAAAGCATACATTATATTCACAGAATGGAAGGTTTGTTATTATTTAATATTGTGATTTCAATATTGTTAATATATGAACTTTCCTGAAAAACAAAGTGCAGGTTCAGTGCAATTCCAATTAAAACTCCACCATGATAGTGGTAGATAAAGATCAATGAATTCTAAAATACATAAGGACAAAGTAACTATAATAGCCAAAGCAGTTCTGAAATTCCTCTACAGGTTTTCAAGGCTTATTATAAAGCTACATCACTCAAGAAATGGTACTTGATAAAGATAGACAAATACAATCAATAGATTAGAGAATTCAGAAGCAAATCCAAACAAATTTAAGGAAATCCAAACAAATTCAGAAATAAATCTAAAGCCATTTGATTCTTTTATAAAAAAATAAAGTTAGTTCAATAGAGATAGGACAGAATTCTCAATAAATAAACTATTGTACAGTAAGATGATATGCTTTCAGTAAAATTCCTACAACTGTCCTACACTAGATGGGATGCTTTCAATAAATTTATGACACAGGAAAAAGCAGGGAAAAAACATACTGCCAAGAGACAAAATAATCAGTGTAACTACTTTCGAGCATTTGTACCATTACGAAAGGTATATGGGATATATCTCCACTTTACAATGGTAGGTATATCTAAAATCAATGCAGCATTCTAAAATGAAAATTTATGACATAATGTTAGATGCTAATAGTATATTAAAATTCAAAATTCTAATTCACCTTCTTATAACTTCTAATTCTCCTAGTTTTATGTGCAAATTTTAAAAGTAGAAGATGCAGAAATAAGAATTGTGACCTTAAAAGACAGGATATTTTTGACTTACAGAAAACAAATATTATGGATTTTTCCTCTAGTATTTTTAAAGGCTTAACAATTAAAAACATGAACAGGGAATGTGCCTTACCTATCTTTATGTCCCTAGAATATAATACAAATGTAAGGACAGGTTGAAAACTCAGTATTCAGCGTGAAACTGAAGGAAAAGGAAGAACATTTTTAAAGACATAAAGTAAATTACTTATTAGGTCTAGTACTTTTCTATAATTGCCACACATAATTATCATAAACTTAGTTACTTTATCTATAAATTTATTGTCTTGCAGTTTTCTAGGTCAGATATGTGATAGCTCTTTCTAAATAGGCTAAGACCAAAGTCTTAGATTGAACTGCTTTCTTTCTGGAGAGTCTAGGGAAGAATCTACTTTCCTGACATGTGAACTTTACAGAGGCCCACTCATACGGTGGGTCACCTTCAAAGACAGCAACACGGGATTGTGTCTTCTGTATAAGGCATACTTCTGACTTTCTTTTTGCTTCTCCTTTATAATCGCCCATGTAATTAGATTAGCCTACAGCACATAATCTAAAATAATGCATTTAAAAAATCAGTTCATCAGCAATTGTTGCAACTGAAACACTAATTCCCCTTTGTCATGTAAAATATCAAATCCACAGATTCTAGGAATCAGGGTGTGTACCCTTGGGAGCCATTATTCTAGCTTTCCAACTGGCTCTGCTGAAAAATTTAAAAATAAAAAGTCACCTTTTTTTGGTACTTTTCAAATTGTAAAGATATCAAACATGAAACAGAATCCATTATGATATATAATACTTTACCTAACAGTGTAGAAAGGGATACAGATAGGCTATTATGATACACTGTAATGATACACTGTATATTAATTGGATTGATAAAACAATACTTCATATTATTGTCACCATTTTTTTCAACAACAAAAAATTCTAGGATATTAGGATTTACATGCACAATGCTCTTAACTGGAAAAGCAGATCAACCAGCTTGTATTCTGTCATTTACCAATGTGATCACTTCGCACAACAATTTAAGGTAAAAAGGTCATTTATATAAAAAAAATGAATGCTACACATGAAGTCAAAGCACATTCAACTAAACAGCAATAAAACCAGCCTTCATTTACTATTTCTTTAGTTGAAAACAATGTAAAAAATAGCACAACTCCATAGATTAATTGACTATAATTTAAAATTAAACTGTTTTAAGATAAAAATTCTTTATTTTCAAATTGTTATTTTATTACTATCAATCTGTCTTTCTGCAGAAAATCCAGATAACATTAATAATGCGTTAATAAAATGAGCATTTAAATTAAAAATTGTATATAAATATTCAAGAATAATTCATGTTCATAAATGCAATGTAGTTGTGAAATAGTATATGAAGGAAAAGCTTTTTTAAAATATTAGACAATCACAAAACTAAATGAGAACTACAACATTTTTCTCAATCAATATTAAACCATGCCGGTCGGGGATTTTAGCTCAGCAGCATAAGCACTTGCCTGGCAAGCAAGAGGTCCTGAATTCAATCCCCAACACCGCAAAAAAAAAAAAAAAAAAAAAAGGCAAAAAAAAAAAGACTTATTTGAGCCAGGCGTGGTGGCTCACGCCTGTAATCCCAGCACTTGAAAGGCTGAGGTGGGAGGATCATTTTGAGTTCCAGACCAGCCTGAGCTACAAAGGGAGCTCAAGGCCAGCCTGAACTGCATAGGGAGACCCCGTCTCAAAAAGACCCCCCCCCAAAAAAAATTAAATCATGCCATAAACAGTAAGACATAAATACATATCCTTATATATAACATATATTTATATTACACAATATGCATGTTATATATTATAAATACATAAAATATAAAAGTTATAGTCTTAAATGAGAAGGGAAACCTTGCTGTACACAGTTCAATGTGTAAAAATAAAAATAGCACTTGAAAACTAACCATTTTCTTGGTCAAACAAGCACATCTTTTATAGCCGTAACAAAGTTATCTCTCAAATAACTGAGGACTAAATGTGATATAAATTTTTTTTTGTTAAAAACAGAAAAAAAATCATTTCAAAACTTTATTCCCTCTAAAGTAAATTAGTAAATAAAAACAGATACACACATACATGCTCACCACACAGCAGTCAATGGTGTCTACATAAGCTTTAACAAATTTGTTTTATGAAAACATAGAAAGTGGAGCTGGAGGCATATACTAGAAATACAATGTCATAAATAACTGACAAACAAGTTACCCCATAGAGGAAAACCAAACCAGCTTATCCATATTTATATAGCCTCAGGATTCTACATAGGTTTGTTCATTAAACAGTCTTGAAATTCTCTCTATATTAATATTATTCCACAATGAGTATAGTAGTTTATGTAGAGCTACAACAATCTGAGAATTTTCTCTTGGATCCAATTTCTTCTTGTGGTCTTACTACCAGGAGTACTAACAAGAGAAAATTGAAACCACAAAGTTTTACAAAAGAGTACACTAAAAAAAAATAAAAGCTTTTCTGGCACCAAATTGTATATATAATACGATTATCTAAAATACACGTAACTGAAGTACCTAAATGAAAGGGACTACAAAGCAGAGGGAAAATACTAACAACCAGAATAGTCAATGCTGTCCCATCAGTTGAGCCAAAGGTATGTAATACAAACTTTAAAACAATGACATAACAAATCAAAAAGAATGAATGTATGTTTTAGGCAAGAAGAGAATATCAAATGGAAAAATATACATGTTCAATGCTAAAAGGAGGAAAAGAAAACCAAAAAGGGCACATGCAAACAATGGCAAAATATCATAACATTTAAATCCTTATCATTATATTAAATATAAAAGTAAACACAAACATTATAAAAAAGAAGACTGTCAAAATAATTTAAACAGAGAAGCAAAACAAAATCATCTGCAATATTTATAATATGCCCAATTGTCTATCAACATTTGAATGCAGAGTCAAATTTCCTATAATCGTGTGATAGAAGGCTACTCGTCAATAAAAACTACTCACTAATGAGTACTTAACAACGTAAATACATTTTAAAATATTGTACTCATAAGACACAAGTGTTGAATGATTCAGTTTTCATGAAGTAATGAATGAAAACCACTTTATAGTGACAGAAATCAGATTCATAGCAAGGGAGAGGGATAAATAAGGTAACCAAGATAAAACCTTTTGGAATCCTAAAATATTTTACTCCTTGGTTTGAGTACCAAATAGGTGAATACCTTACAGAAACACTATTGAGCTTTTAAAGTGAAGAAATTGGGGCCTGGGGATTTAGCTCAGCAGTATAAGTGCCTGCCTTGCAAGCGTGTGGTACTGAGTTCGATCCCAAAACCTAAAGTGAATAAATTTTCTGTGTTCCAGGTAAATCATAAATAATTAAGAAACAGAATTAGAAATAAATAAATTACATAAGAAATCAATAAAACACTCAAAATTTTAGAAATTAAATAACATACATTAAAAACATTAATAAAAGTTGGTGACCTGAATTTCTAAAAACAGTTTTTCATTTGGAGGTATGAGTTAAAACATGAAATATGTGAAGACTAGTAACTTAATTTTCCACCAACAATTTATATACGGTGTACACATACATGCACATACATAAATAAAATAATTACCAATAGAAGCTGAACGCATTTGTCTCATGTGAGTTTCTATGACAGAAGGATCTCGAGAGCTGTAACTTCCCAACTCAGGATAAAAGCTGGAGCCAATGTCATCTGGAGGGCTGTGTTTCCCTTGTGGATAATTCTTGGCTAATCTAGGGTCCCAATGTTCTAACACTGGATGGTTCCAATGTATGTATTTACCATCAAATTGTGGGTTTCCATACCAACTGTAATAAAACACATGTAAAAAGTAATTCACAGGCGGCAGTTCTTCAAGGTTAAGTTCAGAGGCTTTGGACGGTTTCATAGTGTTGTCAACGCTTTTTAAATTCTTGGTATTGGTTTCACTCTTGATTTTGCCACTCTTTTTTAAATCAAGTTTTTTCCCCAAATGAACAGTTTGTTGATGAAGTTCTGGAAGAAGGTCAAGTCCAAAAGGAGCTCCAAAAGCAGCCGTATTTGGTCTCAGCATTTTTAAACTCATCATCAGAGAGAAAATAATTAGAATAAAAAGTGACAAAATGATGCAAGTCCTTCTCCGAAATTTTGCCATGATGACATGCTTTAAATTCCAAAACAGTGCATGTTCTGCTGTAATTTATTGAAAAAGATAATTAGTAAGTGTATCAACAATATTTTCCAATGTCTTAAAATAAAACGTAAAATCCCTAATTATCACGCTTAAGATTAATAAAATGATATTAATTATATCAAGTATTAATGCTTAAAAAAGCACCTACACGTAGTTACACTAACTGACAATACTGATTCAGGAATACCACCATTTGTATGTCAATTACACTTAGTAAACCTTTTATGAACTTTACTTAAAAAGATGAAGAGTATTTTTCCTTCCTTGATTTATGGACACTGAATATAGAAAGGGAATATCCTATCTATTTAAAGGAAAATGTCCTAAACCTAAGCGTAAAATTTAAAAATCAGAGGCAATAGAAGGAAATAGTTAAAAATATACTTCAATCTAGTAGTAATAAACAATGATTTCCATAAATGTCTTTTTCACTAAAACTTTACCAAGAGGGAATAAGCATTATATTTAGCAATGGGATACAATCAGACAGTATTTTTTAAATGACAGTAGGTAAAAAATAATATAATATTTGATATTTTGACAACTATCAAAATGCTATCATTTAAATATGTCCTCCAAAATTCATGTGTTGGACAATTAATTCCTAATTCATTACTGTTGAGGAATTGAGCCTAATGGAAAATGTTCAGGCCAGGAAGGTTTCATTCTTTAAGAAAAAGATTAGTTCTATTTTGCCCATCGACTATAGAATGGATATGAAAATATAACATTTTCATACAATGGAAAGCTACTCAGCTCTAAAGAAAGATAACCTACAGGCTTTTGTAGGTAAATGGATACAACTTAAGATCATGCTCATGGGTGAATTGGTTCCAAGTCTCGCGGGTGAAAATCGTGTTGTTTCCCTAGTATAAAAAACTAAAGGAGTGGGGCTGGGGATTTAGCTCAGCGGCATAAGTGCCTGCCTTGAAAGCAGGCAGTCATGAGTTCGATCCCCGGTACTGATTTAAAAAAAAAAAAAAAAAAAAAAAAAACACCGGTATTGTGAAAGTGAAAGGGAGGAAATGTCTAAAAAGCGAAGGCAGCGGCCATTGTTAATCTACTATCATGTTTTTAAGCCCTGTATTGTTTTCATTGCTCTTGTTTGGTTTTATTGTTTTGTTTTGTTTGCTTTTATTATATTTGATGGCATGGGGCAGCTATTTGTAAGATAAAAAATATATTATGGTAGCCATTACTGATTTCCTATTATTTTGTTTCAAAGTCCTGTATTGCTTTCATTGTTTGGTTTTGATTTTATTCTATTTTGTTTTGAAATTTTATGTGGATGGTACAGGCAGCTACTCTGAAGATAAAAACAAGCATCATGGTGGCCATTGTTTTCCTATTATCTTGAAGTCCTGTATGGCTTTCATTGTTTTGTTTTAATTGATTTTGTTCTGATATGTTTTGTTTAATTTTATCCTGCCTGATGGTATGGGCGGTTATTCTGAGGATAACAAGAGGCATTATGGTAGCCATTATTGATTCCCCTTTATCTTGTTTTGAAGTCCTGAACCATGTTCATTGTTTTGTTTTGATCGACTCTATTCTGTTTTGTTTAGTTTTACTCTCTTCAAAAAAAAAAATTAAATTTAATGCTACTATCAAAAGAGCTCGAGGGAGTTCTATTTGCTCCTTCCACCATGAGTTGCTCCTGTTCTTTAGACAATGGAGCATCAAGACACAAGATTGAAAATAAAAAGTAGACCTGACCAGACAGCTGGTCCTAAAATACCTTGATTTTGGACTGCTCAGTCTTCAAAAGAATATGAAATAAATCTGTTTTTTTATGAATTACCTAGTCTCAGGTATAAAAGCAGTATAAAATAGACTAAAACACAAAATAACTGTAAAAGCAAAAATCATTGATATTAAACAAAGGAATAAAAAGTCTCATGGGAAACAGGATAACCACATGCTGAATATATTTCTCCAAAAGATATCTAATTAATTACAAAGGGAAGCATAATGTAGCAGTAGAGACCATACCAGATGCCAGCCTAAACAAGTTATTAAAATTAATTTTTTTCTTTTTTTTCATTTTTGGCTTCTTGACACAGGGTTTTGCTATGTAGGCCTTGAGTTCACTTTGCAGTGTGGCTTGCCTCAAAGTCATGGTGATCTTCCTGACTCAGCCTCCTGAGTGCTGGGATTACAGGCATGTACCCCAGTGATTTCTAATAAACGTATTTGTTAGAATCTCCTGAGAGGCTGCACTGAGGACATATACTAGTGGCTATGACAAATATTCTGTTCAAAAATTAATCTTGCTTATTTATGAAGATGCATGAAATATATGAAAAACAAAATATACACACATGTACACATGCATGTATTTACACACACATACAGACTATTATAATGCATATAATCAGTCTTCCAAATCTCTGAGTTCTTCATCTATGGATTTAATCAAAATCAGATGAAAGATATTTGGGGAAAAAAAACTTTTATCTGTAATAAACACATATCGACATACATACTCCGGTCACTAATTTCCTACCAAATACAACTATATAACATTTACAATGCGTTAGATTAGTAATCCAGAGATGATTTAAAGTAAACAGGAAGAAATATGCAGGTTATATTCAAAGGCTACAAAGTATTTTATAAGAAATTTAAGCACTTATGGACTGATATTCACAGGGGTTTGTAGAATTAATCCCCTTTGCAGAAACACAGGGACGTTATATAGGATACAATGCAACATTTAAGTAAATTTCAGTACAGCAGTACTCATTTCATGAACTTAATTTATTCTGTGATTTTGGCCTTGTGTTTGTGTGCAAAAGGTGGCCATCATTATATTTGTCACCAGATGAAGTTTCTAAACAAAAAACAAAATTTTGCCAAATACTTCCGTTTGCAAGCGAGAGTGTACATGAACTGAAGTATCACTGTATATGTATGTATATATTTAATTACAGGCAAACATGATAAAATATTTAGGAAAAACAAACAGGAATTATTGATTTTTTTATATTTACAACTTTCCTAAAGTCTTCAATTACTTAAAAATTAAAAGGCAAAAGAAAAAAAGAAATTTTAACACAAAATCTGCTTGATTCTGAAGGGCCAATGCATAGCCTTTCAAATTCAGCACTGTGTAACTCCAAGAAGTGAAATTTTTATATTCGGAATGTGGCAGACCAGAAAATTGGATAGGAAAAAAATGAAACAAACTGTATAGCCATTTGGTTCTGTGCCTATAATTTTTTGTCCAGAAATTTCCAAATTGTTATGAAAAATTTTCTTTGCTTAAAGAAAATAAAGTTTTAATAAGACACGAAGCAGAAACAAAGTGTGGATATAATATGATCTCTAACGTACAGAGAAATGAAATACACTTAAGCATGTATAATACATGTAGTTATCTATAGGCGAGAAAACAGCAATTTCTCTGTCTTTTAAATCTGGAACACAAGATTTCATAACAACAAAAAGTTGGGCCAAGGATTTTATAAGGAAATAATCAATGGTAATGAATGTTGAAGATCCAGAGGTAACAGAAACAGATTCAGAAATTTAGATTTAGAAATTGAGACTAGAGTTTTGAGATGATGACTTCAGCTGAGTGGTAAAACACATTAAAGACTCAAGATATATAACAGAAAGAATATTGATTTTGAACTCTGAACATATAAAAGCAGCCATGATGACCTTACAAAACAGCTTATCAGTGTCATCTAAGAGTTATTTTGTGAATCATCCAAAGGTATGTTTGTTAAAGAGAATATGAAAGGCTAATGTTTAGTCAAACAGTAAATATCACTTGACGTTTTAAAAAATGTAAGTGAAAAAAATATAGGAAAAAAACACTGATTTTTTTTTTTAACATACAGGATTTTATTCTCTGCATCTATCTATGAATAAAAAAACCAAACTTGAGTTTACAATAGCTACCTTCTCTTTTTATCTCGTCCTCATTGTAATCTTTGAAGCTGGTCCTTTTCTCTTTTTTTTATTTACATTAATTTATCTACAGATGATCCGCTGGTTCTATCCTCAACTCAGTATCTCAGTTAACAGTATTAAGACATTTCTACCAAAGGGAACCTGTTCACTGTAATTAAAAGTTATTCTGCAGTTAAAATGCTCATTTCAATTCTAGCAGTATCATTTTCTAGTTATCTGATGTATATACTTGACTCGACTATACTTTTTTTTCCACTGTAAATTCAGTTCACTTGCAGGACTTTTTGCGAGTGTGAAAAAAATATAATGCTATAAAACCAGAATGAAATCTGATTTAATATAAATCTGATTATTGATGGTGATGACAATATTAAAGATAGGTGTTTACTAAGCAATCATAAACAAGTGTATGGTTTATTCTAATAGTCTATTCTCTATATGGCTAATTTAAAAATTCTCACTCATATTTCAGGTCAAAGCTGAAATGCTGCCTACTTTTCTCGATACTTTTCTTTACAATCAAGCAAAGACCAACGTATTTCATACATAATCAGAAATAATTAATTAGCTCAATTTCATTTCTAGTCTCTTGCTTTTGACAGTGGTATGTATTTGAACAGCATGGACATAAACATTCATCTGCCTACATACACACTTCCTATGTTTAGGATCTATGATGAATACAATACATAAAAATCATAAAGATTCTATAATTTTTAAAGCCACTTAAATAAAAATAATTATTTAAAAAGTTTAAAACAGGGCAACCCATGTAGGCCCCTCCTGTCTCTCACAAACTATTCTTTTCTCCATTATTTTTCTCAATAATTTTTGCTATCCTTAACAAAAAAAGTGCAAACCCACAATCACTGTTAAGATGCCGTTGACATCTGATGATGCTGCAGGGAAAAGTTGAAAGAACTACTTATTTAGTTTCAACAAAAGAGATAAATTTCAGAAGTGAGATGAAAGAAGAAAGATAAGACAAGTTAATTGCAGATAATGTAGGTTCTCAAAGCGGATAGCTTCTGTATTCAGAAACTATATATAATATCTTCTTTTGAAATCATGGTGCCTATTTCTGTTTTTGTTTTTTAATCTTTTAAAAAGCTATTTAACAAGAACATCTAATAAGGTCCAACAAAAAACTTACGTTCTGCTACCATGTAAATGAGTAAAATAAAAAAGTTTTCCATCTTTTAAAATTATTATCATAAAATTATAAAGATACCTCATGCTTTTTCTGTTTTCTTTTGTATAAAGTCACTGCAGATAATACAATTAATACAGAAAGACACATCTGGAACTTTCAGAATCACTTTTGGTACTAAGGCTTCCTTTCCCAGGTTGGTTTTACAGTAACTTTGTTTCACAGTAAACCAATTCGGCATATTCTCCTCAATCCGTTTTTAACCTTCATAAGAATCTTTCAAGTAGTTTCTTTTGACACCAGTTTAAGAGTGATAAAGCTGCACAACTGATCAACTTCTTCAAAGTCTCTCATGCAGCAAATGGTAAGACAACCTGAGGTTAAGTAACCAGCAATGGGCACAGTCAGGCTTTAGAACTACAGTTGCGGCTCTCTGGTACTTTGTCTTACTATAAAGTATCCCAATAATTTTTGCGACACACACAAAGAGTGTGGATATACCCATGTTTTCATTCAAAGACTGTGGACGTACAGAACAATGATTAACTGTTCCATAATCCATAAACCGTGATCCTAATTTAATCTGAAGGCAGTTTAGTTTTTGATCATACACCCCACTCCCTACATCACGTGAATGAGTAACAGCAGAACCTTCAAATTCACCAACCTCGCAACATGACATTTTTTCTGAGTGTTTAGGTACAACTCGATGAAAGTGAAGCAACCTACTGTCATGAAAACAATTTCCAAGTGTATTTCTAAGATGCAGATTTTGTATTTTTCTTTCATACTGCCCACATTCGTTAAGGCGAGCACACCATCACCCTAACCTCGTTTAAGTCATATAGTAAGTACTATACTGTTCTAACTGCCTGTGGTTTATTCTTAGAAAACAAAAATATTCGCCCTGTACAGTCGGACCTTGAGACTTAGCAAAACGTAAAGTCTGCAATGCCAGAGGCTATCGGTGAAGGCAGAAGTCATCTGCACAGTGGCCCGTCCACCCCGTCATGCGCTGCCCTGGCACCAGCTGCAGCAGGCCAGGCCGCCCCTTCGCGGCTCAGGCGCCCCGAGCCCAGCGCAGCCGCCTAGAGCGGTCAAAGTGCGGGAAACGCTGCGGTCAGCCCTGAAAGGTCACGCAGCTGCCCGAAGGGACGCCAGAGCAGAACCACCGAGGTGACAGGAGGCTCCAACCCAAGGAGGGAGCACAGAGGAAGCGAGTGGGCTGGGATTATGTGGGAGAAAAGACCTTAAAAATAACGCGAAGAAAAGTCGGCCGCAAACCTCACCCGGCGGACTGCATCCCCCTCAACCTGGAGTCCGCGCTTCCCGCCGCCGACCAAGGGCGCGGGGTCAAAGGGCGTCAGTGGAAAGGGGCGAACCGATTGGCTGGCGGGCGAGCGCGCAGGCGCCGCTGAGTACCTCGCGCCCGGCGCCTCTGCGTCACTGGGACCCCGAATCCGGCGCCTACTTACTGGGCTCTGGGAGTTGGACATCCGCAAGGAATCAGCTAGCGAAGCTGTGGCTACCTGAAAAACGGAGAAAGCCAAGAGCTGCCTAGCCCGAAACGACCAGCCCCGCCTCTCAAACGCTTGCTCAAGCGTTTTTGGAAGGCTAGTGGAGAGGAGCCGGAGGGCGGGGCGGAGCTCGCCTAGTGGGCGGGGTCAGCCGAGCGGGCGGGGTTAGCCTGGTGGGCGGGGTTCGGGAACCTGTGGGTGGGAGTGCTCGGGAAAAAGGTTCATCCTTGGGGAGGTAAGGGTCCTGTTTAGTCTTCTGAACCTTAGCTGGGAAGCTCTGTTTAATTTAAAACAAGTAGTTGAATTTAGTTGAATGCTTTATGTCAGGCATTCACTGGTTATTTTCAGAGTTGAGAAACTGCAGTATTTTGCTTCTTTTCTTTAAATGGATTTTTCCCTGAAAGTCCAAGGTAGACAGATAAAAGATACAGTTATAATTTGCAAATGTATTAAAAGTTACATTTGTAGTGAATCAGTAAATAAAAATAATAGAGCAAAAGAAAATAATAGAAGAATAAGAATCTTCAAGGTAGAAGTTACTGCTGAGCGTGGCCATTTTGCATCAGCTTTAGAAGCCAAGAGAATTACATTTGTTTGGGTTACCTAGTAACAAGGACATATTGACTTATAGGCTAGATGTTGGTATGAACATTTTTGTGAAGACTGTTCTTAAAAACTCATTGGATTCCTTAAAACTAATTTTAATTCTGAAACATGCATAAGTGATTACAACTTCCTATTTGTGCATTTTAAAGAATAATATCCTACTATCCAGCACAGAGCTTAAGAAATGGAAAAATACCTGAATTATCTTCTCCAAATCGCATCTTTCCATCTCCAAAGCACATCTAACCATTATGCTGAATTTTGTATTTCTTATCTTTTCTGAAATGTGACATGTGTACAATGTCTTAAAAATACATTATTTTGGTTTTGTCTTTTATGTAAATATACGTGTTCTATTCCTTCCCCTCCAAACTTCCTTTTTTCATATACATTCCAGTTTTGAAATTTATCACTACACTAACCCGTTTGACATCAACTAATTTGGTACATCATGATCTGTAACATCTGCTAATGTCATACTTTGAAACATTTGCCTGGAAAAAACATTTAAGTTTTTCTTTTAATCTGCATTTCCCCCCTTGCTAATGGAGATTTACGTTTTTAAGTGTTTACAACTATTAGGGTTTCTGAAAGGTCTGAACTCAGTTTGGCTCATTTTTTATTGAGTTGTTTTTGAAATTTGAATTGTGAATAATTTTGTTTTTAGAGCTGACCTATTTGCTTATGAATTATGATTGTTACAAATGTCTGAATTTGTGGGTTGTATTTTCACTTTTTATGGTAGATGTTAATCATCAAAGCCTTTATATTATAGGATACTCATTGTCAAATTTAACATTTTAGATTATAATTGCATGCTCTGTGCTTTATTTTTTAGAAGAGTTTTCCCACCCTGAGACTTCAAGCTGTTTTTATAGTGTCCTCTAAAATTTTAATATGAAATATTCTGGACACAAAAAAGTACAGCGTGATGGTGCAGGTCTGTAATTCCAGTACTCTGGGAAACCGAGACAAGAGGATGGTAGACTTGAGCCCAGCCTCCACCAAGTTACTGATTTAGAGAGACCCTGTTTCAAAAAGCAAAACAGGTTGAGATTGTACTCAGTGATAAAGCTCTGGTTCAATCCCCAGTGCTACCCCAGCCAACCTGATTCAGATTTTGAATGGATTTTGTTTAAACTGTGTATTTATTTATATTCAGATCTTTTATGTTCTTTAATGCTTTGTAATTCATTACCTTTTAAAACATTTTTCTAGCTTCATAACTAAAATTGGAAGGTTTTTTTTTAACTTACTGGCTCCGCGATAAAGTTCTTTCTCATCATGAATGAGGCCCTGAGTTTGCTCTCAGGACCATAAAAAAATACATCTTTCAAATTGATTGTTAATGTATACAAAGCACATTGATTTTTATGTATTGGTCTCATATCCAGAAACCATATTGAACTTTTTGTTTATTTTACTTTTGGTTACAGCTCTGCATCGTCTATATAGACAGAACTAACATTTGTGAATACCGTTTTTCCTTTTCACTTTGTTAAATCACATAATCATTTTTCTCATGCATTACCATGACCTCCATCACAGTGTTTAATGAACATACTGATAGTATTTTTATCTTATCCCTGACTTTTCTATAATACTGTTAATACTGTTAAAATTTTATTAGGCAGTACAGTGTTTGTTGTGGGATTTCACTTGCTACTTCATCAATATTTTAAGAGTTCTATTTCTGATTACTAAGTGTTTTATTTACTAATTCATTTATTCTTACCAGGAGTGACTGTTTAATTGACTTAATGCATTTTCTTCAGCTATTGAGGAAATTATTGTTTCCTGTTCTAATATAATTAGGGGCTGTATTGATAGATTTTCTGATGTTGAATGAGATAGAAGACATTTCATTTTATAGAATATTAATATATGCCCACTTGCATAAAAACAGGATATTTATTACTGCAAGTGTAAATAAATTAGGATAAGTAGAATTTCATTGCATTTCTGTTTGTGTGTCAGATTCGTTACATAGCAGTGTTGGTAAGCTAAACTCGATTAGAGCAAATTCTCTGTTCTGTAACTTCTGTTCATACTTTGTCACTAGACAAGAATACTAAGTTAGCATTGATGTTTTATCAGTATTGTTTTTCACTCATTCTGTATAACTTTTTCTTGGTGTGTTTTTTGTGTACATTATTAGTTTTTCTATGTCCCTGCTAGGGACTGTTTTATTCTGTATCACATGTGTAATATTTTTGTGTGGTAAATCTTGATGTTTTCAAATCTGTGTCAGCTATAGTTACTTCCAACTCTTCTGTTTTCTCATGTTTTATTTTCTTTTGCTTTGTGGTGTTTCATTTTGAGACAGGGTCTCACTATGTAGTGCAGGTGCGCCTTGAACTCACTGTAATCTTTCTGAGTCAGCCTCCTGAGTGCTGGGATTACAAGCGTGCACCACCACATCCATCATCTCATATGGTTTTAAAGTTAGATTAATAAATGAAAGTGATACTGAACTTGGTGGATTTATAAATACTGCTTAGGAACATGTCCAAGATAAATGGGTAATTAGTACATTAATATTTACAGAAATCCATTTTTATAAATTTTAAATATGTGTATCTAATACCATATAAAAATCTAAAAGAATGCATGTATTGTGTCCTGTACTAATCTAAGAGAAACAATAAGTGAAGAATTTGTTTACTCTCAACTTCTTTAATCCCTGTCTTTTCTGTCAATATATATTTATGGGTTTCTTGTTTTAATAAAAAATATAATACCAGAAAGAGTATACTTTTGTTTTAAAAGATGGATTTCTGGAAGGAAATAGAACTGCGCATACATTGCATTTTAAATGTGTTGCGTCAAAGATAGTCACAAAGAGTGCAAAGAAAAAAATAATCAAAAGAGGAAAGAATGGGTAGGGAGATATCAACAAAGTTTCTCATAAAATTCTTTTCAGGAATTATTCTAACACAGTAACTTCATAACCCATAGTTTTACCTAAGTATCATTGATTGCTATAACAGCTCCTCCCACACAAAATCCTGTGTATTACCTTGCTATTAATGCAGCAGCCATTTACTTATATTATCATGATTACTGTTATTGTTACTACTATTGATCTTAGTAATGAAGATCCTTCTTTTCTTCCCAGATCTGGGAAAATGTTGATACCTTCAGCCATCTGTTTTGTGCCTCTACTTCAGTGCATCTTACAGCCTGTTTCCTGAATATTTCACGTCTCTTCTCTTTCCCCTGGTCCTGGAACTTTTATTAGAGCTTCCTAGACGTAGCATGCCCATCTTATATCTTTATGCAAGACTCTTGTCACCTAAGAAGTTGATTCTCTTCCATATCTTCATTAATTTGTCGAAGTTCTTGTATGGTATGAAGGTATGAAAACTAAATCTGGGAAACCATAACACAAAGAGACTATGTGAAAAATTGTAGAGTAAAACATGATATATCTTAGGTAATATCCATGTCTGGGAAGCAAAAGAGGCTCAGAAATTGGGAACAAAGCCTCACACAATGGGACTGATTAGAGCACTGCACTGAATTCTCAGTATTATTCCCGTCAGCATGGATAACTTGATTCTGCCCTTCCCTCAAAATTCAAATTTTTGGTTGAGGTAGTCTGATTACTTAAGCCTCTGCTGCAGGCCGCGTAGCACCTTGAAGTATAAACTAGTCCCTTTGGCCTGTGTAATGGCCAGTAGGACACAAAACATGTCATATGGTGTCCTCCCAAAAGTAGATTCTAGTAGCAACAGAGCATAGCACAAAAAAGATAAAAATTGTAAACCAAAGTTTAGTCTTTTTTACAGTGTGTCTCAGTGTCCATGTTAAGTCTGCTTTCTTATTTATTCTATATTTTTAATCTCAATTAGGTTTATAATTTCATTAATTAAATTGTTCTATCATTTATATCACATCTTGTTTTATGCAACTATGACTAGTTTATTCTGTTACACGGTTTGGCATTCAAATATGACTAAATCCCTTGTGAAACCTCTACTTTTCTCCCTACTGCCCTAATCCTTTCAACAGATGCCCCATGAGATTTAGAATTCCACTAGCATTCTGAGAGCAAGAAAACCAGTCTTAACGTCATACAAGTAATTCATGAACTGTGACACAGATTTAAAAAGTCATCCTTACATGGCCATGAGTACAAGTAAGAGTGCTGTAAATTCACCTGGTCAAGGGGTTAAATGCTTCTCGGTGCTGACCCACAATACAGAATTAAACTCAGTGTAGGTAATTCTCCATTAAACAGGTCAAATTTCTCCAGTCAAAATTCACACTCACTGATTAAAGTATTTTTCCAGGTCATGGCACTCCAACCTAGAGATAGGAGAGATTCCAGGGCCATTTCCTTCCCATTGGTGAGTGGGAGAAAGTTCACAGATTACTACTGCTGTTAGGATCTAATGTGCCAGACTTAGCTATGAGCTGTGTCTCCTTAGGGACACTGTTTCACTTGGACATGGTGGGACCTAAGGCAGGGTTATATCTATAGTGGAAAATTGAGGTAGCAGAAAGATGTAGCACTTCCTAAGAGTAAAATTCTACAAAACATGATGGAATGGCCTTTTGGCCTTTTGAAGGAAGAAAACCTTCATGTATTATGACTGAACATTAGTGTTTTGCCATAATCAGACATGCCCCAATGTAGCATTCTTTAACATCTAGATTTCACATAATTTTCTAAAGAAATAGAATTTGGGTTTTTTCCTCTCCAAGATGGCACAGGTTCTTTGATCAAATTGATCTACTTGCCATGAAAATGGAAGTTTCCAAAATCAAAAGAAAAAGGCCTTGTTATTTCTCAAAATACTGATCCCACTTGCAATTTACTTAAATAACAGACCACAAGAAATTTTCTGTGCCTATTTATTCTAAGAAATTACTGGCAATTTATTTTGTAAAAGAAAAAGAAAAAACATTTATTCATGGGTAAAATATTCCTGTGTTAGAACACATAGTTAAAAAGTGGGTGGAATTGTGTTGTATATGAGACAATATCAAACACCATGAGTGGAAAAAAGGATACTGTGATTCAAAACTAAGTCTCTTAACAGGTAGCATACAGTAGTTGCTTATAGCAGGATAAGAAATGACATCCAATGAGGTCTTAATCCTCTGAACACATGATGCTACTTTACTTTGCAAAGGAATTTGGCAGATGGGATTAAGGATCTTGAGAACATCTAATTGAGGCCCTAATAAGTATCATTTATCAACAGGGAAACAGGGAGCTTTGAAGGACAAGATGGAAATGTTAGGACTGAAGTAAAGCCGTCCTTTTGGCTTTGTGGATTGGAGAGGGAACGTGAGTAAAGAGGACAAATACTCTTATATAATCTGGGTTTTTATTTACTTATTTCTGTCCTAGAGGTTTTGATTAGTTTTAGTTTGTTGAGATAAATGAAAATGTTAGTTTCATGACAATTGACTTTGATTGTACATGTATTCGCAATTTTGGGGAGAATCTGCTGTCCAGAGAACATCAATTGTTAAGAAGTCTCTGCCATGTAGCTGGTTTTCTTTCAAGACATACAGAAATATATGTTGTATTTTTAAAATTTATTTTTCTTATCCTGTTTTTATTAACTTCAGTTATACCTGCATATGTTTAGATCTCAAAAAAACACCTCTATGGTTACTAGACTGGCTCTGAGGATGTCACAAGCTGAAATAAAGACCCTAAACCACCCTTCATGTAGAATAAGTTTACAGCTTCGCTAACTCCCATCATGAAATGAATTTTCAAGACTAGTAAGAGGCTTGGAAAGAATTATGTTAGGCAGAAATTTAAAAATGTACACTCAGAGAAACAGAGTGCAGGCCCTCAAGAGAGTGTTGTGTATTTCCTGGAACAGGAAACATTTATCCTTTTTCTTGAAGTGCTGGAAATCCCAGGAAGAGGCACCCCCACACACACCAAAAAGGGTAGTAACCTGTTCTACATGTATGAGCTCAGTTTTTTAAATAGATAATTTAAACTTCCTTTGGGTTCTCTCAACCTTCTCCTTTACCTTATAATCAAGTTCCTGCTCTTAACTTCTTCAGTGAAGCCAAATTATGAACTTTCAGTATTCCTGAGAAATTTTGGATATGATGCTCTTGGCAGGAAAGGAGCCAAAATTTCACCCAAGGAGTGCTGGTTTGGGTCATGAACTGAGGCCCAAAAGTTGAAGTTTTCTTAAAGTATAATTTTTAGTTATGAGTCCTTCTCTCCTTTCTCCCTATCTTTGATTTCTTTTATCCTACTTCACTGTAATGTAGGTTTTTCTTCATTTATCTGCATAGTTTTGCATCACCTACCACAATGCTTTTTTCCCCAAAGTATGCCCTTAGAAATGTTTAACAGCATGGATTAATTTCACTTTTTATTGCCTGCACAAGGAATGAAGCTGTGTGTGTGTGTGTGTGTGTGTGTGTGTGTGTGTGTGTGTGTGAGAAAGGGATAACAGTGAAAACAATAGTTTTTTGTTTCTGCTTCTTTAAAAGTGAATTCTGTGAGAGTATGTGGTGATCTTTTGTGATGAAATATTGAAAATTAAAGGAGAATTTGCCATGTTATCATTTATGACTTCACTAGAGAAATGTGCTTTGAGTATGCTCTTAAAAATATTTTATAATTCATTAGAAATCTATAATGCTTCCAAAAGATTTGGTAAAAATGTTTCAAAAATACATTTTAACTGCTTTTGTGGGTAGAGAAGTTGCAATTCCAAATTATTTTTATATTTTCAACAACTTGTTTAGGAAAAATATTAGGGGAATATCAAAATAATGTGAAAATGTTGTCTGCAAATTTTTTAGTATAATGTTATTTTTCCATTAAAAAAAGATAACATAAACATTTTACATTGAATTTACCAAGAATATTTTGATTTCCCTTAAATTTTACTCTTTCAGTTTTGATTTTTTTTTCTTAAATCTGCGTGGCCTCCACAATTTTTGTCTTCCTAGTTGTGTTTGTGGTATTTTTGCTTTCAGATCTGGGATTTCTTTGCCCTTAAGTTTTCGCCTGAGGCCTCTCTGTGGTGTTGTTTACCTATTATAACCTGCAGGTTTGAAATCTCTGACTTGGGGTACCAACCTTAAGGTCAGCAACTGACCTTTAATTATTTTGGGTTTGCATCTTCTGAGACTTTATTGAATTTTGGCAGCTATAGAAGTTTGGAATGTTATGGACATTAAAATTTCAGCTAGACAGTTTTTATCTCAGTAGAAAAATACCTTTTACAACACTAAATAGATCATTGTTATTTTGCCCTTCAAAGCTAATAACCACTGATTCTCATGAAGCAAGACAAATTTCTGCAGTTTTTCTCCAAAGAAGCCTAAATGAATTTTCTCCTCCTTTCATAATTTTGCATTCAGCTACATAAAATACAACACTATAGCCAAAACATGAACTATAAAAGTACATTATTAATAGATACACCTTGAGATCATGATGTTAAGTGAACTAAATCAGAGACATAAACTTAGGATCACATGTTTTCTCTTGTGTAACAAATCCAAAGTAAAAATAAAAAGCAAAATGTAAGATAGATAATAGGAAGTAGGGAGATAGAAATTTTTCAAAGGGAAGGTGGAATCAATGGATGGAGGAAGGAAAGGATGAAAAGAAATGAGAAAAATAAAGTGTATTATGCACATGCACCAACCCAAGGAATATATTACACACTGCAAGCATGTATTAATGAAAAAAATCTGAAAAAAATAGGCATTCATCAAGGATGAGTAAGGCAGGAGGAGAAGAACAAACAATAAAAAATAGGGAAGAAGTGAGAACTAGTCTCTATTATGCATTTTTTTTCCTGTTGTGCTTTCAATCACCCATGCTTAGCTATGGCCTAAAAATACTAATGATTTTTGATTCTTGCAAGACAGAAAGAATATATTATTATAAATTGTATTATACTATTTTATTCTGTTATCTTAGTTATTGTTGTCAATCTGTTGCTGTGCTATGTTTATAAATTAAACTTTATTATAGGTATATATATTTGAGAAGAATCAGCATGGATAGAATTTGATAATGTCTTTAATTTCAGATCTTTGCTACATATCTTGGAAGGTATGGCTAAGGGGGACTATTTACAAGTATTACAACTCTTAAAATGTCATGAGAAAATTTTAGGAATAACTTTATGCTAGCACATTTGAAAATCTATATGATATTCGATTTTTTAATATACTAAAAGATGAGTAACATGGACAGGAAAAGATTTGAAGATTTGGGTCCTTAACCGAAAATATATTTACACTAATCATAATAGTAACAATAGTATTGATTTAAAAGGCAATGATACAATTAGTAATAACAATAATACGTTAGGCATACATAGTTTTATAAGACATTAAATATTCAAGGAAATGAGCTACATCTCAGTAATTATTACTAAGTCTTAACAGGGTGGATGGTACAAGCATTTTATAATTTTTAGTGTATTTAAATATACAATATATATACATCTGCATTTTAATTTGCAGTATTTGGAAACTGAGGCTGAAAACACCAGGTGGGAAGAGTGGTGCTGGTAGGAAGAAGCTGTGGATTGCGATTTCATCCTGGGTAAGTGTAGTCAGTGTCTCCAAATGTAACAGAGGAAGTATCAAACGTGATCGTGTAAATTAGTAGTCCATAATTTGAGTCCAGGCACAAAGCTCTGAGGACACAAGAGTTTGAACTTCTTATTTAAAATTCTATTCAAATATTTCCTAAATTAAAAATTATTATTCTCAATTTATCATAACTACTAAACAAGTCTAGATATGATCCCGTATTCTTAGGACAGAATCTCCTTGAAAGGGAATTTGTTTGTATCTTCTGCTGGACCAAGCTATTCCAATTTTAGCAATCTTTGCTGTGAAACTGTATGCCTAATGTGAAAATATTTGCTCATAAGTGGAGCTCCCCCTGAAAATATCCATGAACAAGTACCCATATGTATTTAAGAAAAAGTTCCAAAACTGTACAGGCAGTTACACAAAGATATTTATATCTGTATTAATTTTATATTATTAGTCTAATAAATTGTCACAAGAAGTTCTGTGGCTTAAGCAACACAGTCCTGTTATCTCACCACTGTATGAGTCAATTGTGGATCTCCGGAATCTAAAGTCAGAGCAGCAGCCGGCTACCTTGCTTACTGAAAACTCTGGGTGAATTCTGTTTATTTTTCTTTTATTGGCAAAATCCAACCTTGCAATTTTCATAACTGAAGACTATGTTTTTTGGTAACTGTAAACTGAGAACATTTCCCAGGTTCTAGAGTCTTTGATGTTATCTATTTGATTGACCCTTTTCTCCATTGTCAAAGCAATGGGAGTCAGTTATTCCTCATATCTCATTGACTTACTCAAGTATCTGTTTACTCTTCCATTTTTATGGATATGACATTATGATAGACCCTCCTTAAAAATCCAGGATAATATATCTCAAAACCCTTAACCTTCATTTTATATACAAAACCTTTTGTCTTATAAGATAACATAATCACAGTTTAAGATAACATAATCCAGTATCTTTAATAGAATGTGGACATCTTTGAGGGCCCATTATTTTGCAAAGCATCTAACCTGTATATACAAATAAGTATCTAAATTATATGATGTGAATATGCAAGCATACTCACCAGAGAGAGAGAGACAGAGACACAGACAGACAGAGACAGACAGAGAGACAGAGAGAAGGAGGCATCATCAACAACAAAAACAAGTATGCATAAGTAGAAGAAATATGTAGAAGAAATCTACTAAGCACTCTGGAAGGAAATTGGGATTTCATTATTTATATACATTTTTATATACATACGTACAGACATACATACATACATACATTATTTATATACATATTTTAGTTTGTATTCAGACAATAAACAAACATTACTTTTTACATAAAAATTCAAAGGCTATGGATTGGTCAATTAGATTGAAATACTTGATTTAGTTCACTTGCCATTTTTTTACATCTAGCGAAAGACTCTGAAAGTCTCTGAGTAAATTATATGTTCTTTGAATTATTCATCAAAATAAATTGGCAGACATTATATCCCAGATATTCACCAAATTGAAGAAACTAACGTTTTAACTACTGATTGGCTGAATTGCTGCATATTTAAGTACAGCAGAAATTCATATTATTACTACAAATATCTATTGAAATTATAGTAAGAAAATATAAATAATAGTCTGTTTTGTATTTTGGTTATTTATATTTTACAATTTTCAAAACTATTACTTTTAAAGTTTTCCTCACCATTAAATTGAGATTAGGTTTCCCACATTGTCCTTACATCCACTCCCAAACTCACCATTCCTTGGTACTTAGCACAGGGTATATTTATTTACTTACTGCTTACCTGTGTGCATGTAATTCTGGGCAAAATTCCTTAAGGGAATGTCGTTATCTCCCATATACATTGATTACCCCCAATAAAACCTTTTGAGAGGTATAAAACCTTTTGAGAATACACAAAATTTAAACAGTTTTGGGGCACATTGCTTTGATTTTATGCATCATCAGAATATTCAGGGTTGTAGCAGGCAATCATGCGAATGCTTTATCCAGCACTTGTAGGAAATACAAAAGTATGAAATCTTATCTGAGAATTATGAATAATATAGAGATAATTTAAGCCATAGGATAAATCCAATATAGGAAATGTCGGGTTTTTAAAAAATTAGAATATTAGCTAATGCCTACATCTATTTTTAGTAAAGTATATGTGTACCACAAATCACGATGTTAAAAGTGTTTTAAGTGCTTTAGACCAAAATAAAGAAGTGATGAGCATCCATGTTGTATGAATGATATGTTTTTGATGCTGACTTCCAGAAAAGTAAATAACTTGAGCATTGGTATAATCTATACCTTTACCAATCCAGCACAATGAATTATCTAATAATTAATAACTAGATTACACAAAGCAATATTGTCACAGGCAGCTGAGCTACTTAGAAATATTATAGGCACTCAGACAGAAAAAGTAATGAATCTTCTCTTGCTTTCTTCTAGATAAGTTACTTGATAGAATCATAACTTCTGGTACTTTACAAGCTTTCCAAAATTTTCATATTGATATAGGAGAATGAAATTCCTGATCTATGCTATATGTCAGGTATTCTTACAGGCAGCTGAGCTAGTTAGAAATATTATAGGCAGTCAGACAGGGCTGGGCCCTTGAGGAAACCAGCAAAGAGAACCAAAGGTCTTGTGATCTTGGAGGAGACACATACCTCTTTGCCATGGGCCAGATCTCAGGACAGAAGGCAAAACAAATGCAACCATATCCTCAAGTATAAATTTTAGGGATTAGGTATGGATCACATTGAGAAACCAGGAGTCACCATCCCAACACCCTACAGAAAGAGTCACTGATCCATAGGAATGATTGCTTGTTCCATTTGTCCTTGATTTGGTCAGTTTTAACTGAACAATTAAACTTATTGTTGACATAGCTCTGTCCCACTTCATGCCTGTCTACCTCACAAATTCCCAGTTTTCCTCCACTTTAGACCCACCTCATCTCATGATTTTAATCTACAAAAATCTATAGAAAAGGCAGAGTCCCTGGCAACCTACTCAGGACCCCTTCTGGGTCTTTCACAGACGGAAGCTTTCTTTCACTCAATAAATATATCTGCTCTTAACCTCCATTCCTAAAGTTCATTCTTCCGTTTTAGAGCATAAGAACAGCCACCGAACATCTAGTAGGTCAGGAGTTCAGTTCCCCCATATCAATATGAGTTCATGTTCTAATTTTTTTATTTTAAAATATTAGAGAAATATTCTGAAAAACTACATTCAACTGTTAGTAAAGACATCAAGGATATATACTTGCATATACCGTTTGACCAAAAGCCAGGGCATAAATGAGCTCTCTATATTCAAAAAGGAGAAATCACAATGAGAAAAAAAATGTGAAATAGTATGCTTTTCTAATTAAAAGGATAAAATGCAACTCCTTAAATGTTGTCCTTGAAATGTAGTCCTTCTTTGAGAAGAAAGCAAAAAATGTTTTTAAGAAGTGCATATCTTACACTGTCAAAAAATTTACAAGGGCTCTAGAAATGAGATAATAAAATTCGTACTTCAAATCCTGTAAAACTCCATTAATTATTCTTAATTTTAAAGGTTTTCAGCTGAACATGTGTATTCTAAGGGAGACCTTGCTCACTGCCACATAAGTGGTGGAAAGTGTCCAAAAGAATGGACATAGGTTGGGTACAACAGGACACTCGAATTTCTGAGGCCATAATTCATAAATAAATATCTTTAGGTAAAAAGGTACAGATGAAGAAAAAGTAGCCTCCCTTGCACCAAAGAGAAAGTGTGACTCTCAGAAAAGTGTTACTATTATGTTTTAATTGCCCAGAAGTTTTGTGAATGTGAGAAATTTACCTTAATGGAAGAATAAGCCATGTAACATCTATTGCAAAAGGTAATAGATGCAGTACGTTAGGAAGTAATTTTATTAAAATTTTATTAAAATTACTAAAATTATTTTATTATTAATAAAAATCCTTTTGCTCTGGTGATCTGACATAATAGGTCTTACTCTCCTTACTTTAACAGCTGAAAAACTGTAGATAATAAAAACTGATACTATGTCAGATCTTCAACTTACATTCCAAGTGAATGACCAAATAGGTTCCTGTTAAACGAAGTCTTAAGGAGAATCTAACCAAATTATTTTAGTACTAGTAATTTTTTCTGTAATTTCAAAATGATGTCCTTTGTGGGCTGACAGCACTAAAAATACCCTTTGCTCTGGGTCAGTCCATACTTTTACAGCCTTGTTCTTCCAATTTTGTGTTGATGTGTTCTATTAGCAAAGTCCACACAAAAGGAAATCTGCACAGAGAAACCTATGGACTGAGGCACAGAAGACCTGTTCCCTAGGCACAGAGCAGAAAGGGGAGAGAAGGAAAGTATTCCTAAGAACACAAGAGGCAGTAACCAAACACAGTTGTTGTGCACACTTACCAAATATTTTTTTATCTCTCAAAAAATAAAAACTAAAAAGCAAAATAAATATAAAAATGTTCAGGACTTAGATAAAGCTATTACTATTGAAGAACTAAAAAAGAAAGATATAGATTCACATTTGGTTTTTCAGTGTAAAAATTTAATGTGTGAAGATATCAATTTACCTAGCCAAATCAGCATATTCATTAATTTTGCAATTAGGGAAGGATTCTATTTGATAACTTGATGAACCCATTAAAATTACAAATCAGAAATATAGCTGGTAAGAAAAAAACAAGAAAAATTCTGACAGGATGAAAATGAGTATAATTATATTTACAGTAGTAAAATATGGCTTTAGGAGGAAAGATCAATCATTTAGGTCAATGAACCTAAAAGAGAATCCAGAGAGATTTTTACATTCCTATGACCATATAAAAATGTGGCATTTCTAATCAATGGAGAAAAAGATAAATTATAAAATAAAAGTTGATTGTTCAATTGAATAAACAGTTTGCAGAAAATACAGTTAATACCTGACCTCAAAGAAAACATAAGTAGAGTAAGATTTAACAAGTAGATTAAATATCTAATTTTACTTT